TATCAGGCTCTGCAGAGAATGTAATTTGTCAAAAATAATGAAAGCTTTATTTCTTTCATCATATAATATCTAATGTTTTTTTCTCCAAAGTTCCTTTCTGGTCTTGGACTAACTACTTCTTCAGCTTGCAGCAAAAAGTATTTGCTAGCACCAATCACTGGAGAGCTTGGAAACTGGTTTCACAAAATGTCCTCAATTTTACTTTCTGGAGGAAGAAAAGGTATGCAGAATTAGCAAGGTTTTTTCAGTCAGCAAGTATGGTGCCTACATAACACTTTCTAGATGGAAAAGCAAAAGCATACTACTTTATGTAATATAGATAAAGGCGTATGCTTTTGTGAAATATATTCAAGCTGGCTGTGAGGTAAGTCGAGTCCTATGCCTCTGAAATGACCCAATGGACTACAATAAAGCATGGTGTTAGGGTAAAGGCCTATTGTATGTGTGAGTTATTAAATAAATCTCAATATACTTCTGGTTCTCTTCCTCTACAATATCTTGTTCATCCCTGAAATTTTGGGTTAACCCTTCTGTGAATGGAGCCAAGCAATTGTATTTGCAAGGGCACACTGCTGTGGTGCAACATATGCCTACAGAGGCGGTAAATGTTTTACAAAGCCACAGTGGTGACACGGATGTTATGGAGAGGTTCAAAGAGTGACTTGCAACAGGCTTTCGAGGGGGTTGGTACACAGAGCAAGATGCAGCTAGATGCACTAGAGGGTGCCCAAGAGGGGTACTTTACAGGTGCAGGAGTGTCATGGCCCTCATGGAAGGCTAGTGGACACCCAAGCAGCTGTGGAGGCCAGACAGGGTGCCCCAGAACACTCAGAATACACTCAGTTAATGCTCATTGAGTCATGATCCCACATCCATCAGCTTTTAATGCTTAGGTACCTATCCTGCTTGTACTTCCAGCAGCCCTAGTCCAACCTAGGTTTGAAGAACAACCCTATTGCCTTGCCTGTGGCACAGATCACCCCTGCAGCCTTGCTCAGCCAGGTTACCTTCTCCAGCAGGCAGCTGCAAAACCCACATCAAGCCCTGTCTAGTTTGGCAGCACTCTCCTCCAAGCCACAGGCACTGAGGGGTCCTCCCTGGAACCAGATTTCTTGGGCTCTGGGCAGCACTCAGTCATAGAGTCATAGAATTTTTACATTGGAAAAGAGCTTCAAGATCATTGAGCCCAACCGTCAATCTAGCAATGCCAGGTCCACCACTAAACCAGGTCCCTGAGCACCACATCCGCACATCTTTTAAATACCTCCAGGGACAGTAACACAATCACTTCCATGTCAAGCCTGTTCCAATGCTTGACAACCCTTTTGGTGGAGAATTTTTTTCCTAATATTCAATCTAAACCTCCCCTGGCGCTACTTGTGGTCATCTCCTCTTGTATTATTGTTTTTTTCATTTGAGAACAGACCTGCCCCCACCTCACTATGACCTCCTTTCAGGTAATTGTAGCAAGTGATAAGGTCTCCCCTTAGCCTCCTTTCCTCCAGACTAAACAACCTCAGTTCCCTCAGCTACTCCTCAAAAGACTTGTTCTCAGACCCCTCACCAGTTTCATTGCTCTTCTTTGGACACTCTCCAGCACCTCAGTGTCCTTCTTGTAGTGAGGGGTCTGAAACTGAGCATAGTACTTGAGGTGTGGCCTCACCAGTGCTGAGTACACAGTGCCACAATCAGATCAGTAACTGTACATTGCACATCTTGACAAAGCTTGGCTGAAGCCAGAGGTCTCCACTGGCTGACTTCATGGTGCGGTTTCATGGCATCCCTCTGGGCAGGAGGAATGGAAGAGCCCTTGTGTTTGCTGTCTGTCAGCCTTCCTGCAGAGACCTGATCTACCTGCCCTGCTTGGGAAGCGCCCGTGCCAGCATCCTGCCTCTGTCTCTGGCTTGCACCAGATGTTTCAAAAGAAGTGCAAGAAACTCTGAAGGTGACAGCTACAGAATAATCTGCCAACAGGGAAAGTTTCTTCCAAATCCTCTTACTCAGAGGTTGGCTTTATATCCTCTGTAAGCACTGTCTGTGTTTGTTTGCTCTCTATGTCCCCACCACAGTAACTCTGAATCTTCTGTGTGTCCAAGAAGAAGACAAACGATCTCACTGCCATTTTATGTTTAAAATAGGTAAATTCTTTAAGTTAAGGCTAGAAAGAAAAGAACACAGTGCAGATATTACTCCTCTCCTGGAAGGACTTAATAATCACTTTTCTACTCTTAGGAAACAGTTTTGCTCCCCAGCAACATCTGCCTGGTAGATTGTTCAAAGAGCCAAAGCATATTAAACGCACACAATAAGTGATGTCAAACAACGCAGTTCTGGTTACATCATGTTACAGGGGGATGGGAATGATAGGAACAAAAGTAATCATGAAGGGAAAAGAGTCAGATGATATTTCTATATCATTGATTCTCATTTTCTATTTTATTCTATGATTCTAAGATTATCAATGAGAGAGATGGACAGTTAAATGCCAGCACGAGCTTTCAGCAGTATTCGGCAGAAATCTGAACTGTCATTCTGTGAGGGACGGCAGCTGGACTGCTGGTAACCTGGCATTGGTTGAAGACATTGACCTTGACAAATTCCCAGTGTACCCTTAAGATGGGAAGTTGTGTGTACTGAGTTTGGACACGTTTGCGGAACTTTCTCCCTCAACATCCAGTGGGATGAGCCCAGCCAGAAGCTGCTAATTGTTACCCAATTAGAATGTGAAAAACAAGTGTTTGACCTATAAGCAAAGGCCACGCTACCTTCTTCTAGTACCTTCGACTGTGTATAAAAGGCACACCCTTTCTGTAATAAAGGAGCCATTTTTGAGCCATTCTAATACCATTCAGTTGTGTCGTGTCCGTCTCTACAACGACATCATTCTTAGCTTGGCAGTGTACTTTCAACATTTCAGGTTTAAAATAAAGCCCCTTTCACCTGATAAAGTTGCCAGGGAGAATAAATAATTAAACACATTGAACTGTGGTGCTGCCAGCTTATTCCTTCTTTGCAGACATGATGCTGCAAAGCTGCATCTGAAACCTGTCCTTCAGTGAGGAACGCAACTTCCAGCCCCAAAACCTCTCCACAGCCAGCTGGGTGGCTTATCCCAACTGCTTCTGCTGTCAGCCTCTTCCAGGGCTTCAGAATTTGCTCAAGAAAGAGGCTTTGCATGAAGGGATTTTCTGCAAGGAGCAGGAGCATGGCCCCTATGGACAAGACGTTCATGACACAAAGGTCTGCCTTGTGTATCTGCTCAGCATCCTTGCATATGACTAAAGTGTCTTAGTGTTATCTCAAAATACCAATACGCCAATAATAGCCTTATGGGAAAGAGAGTACATTAAGTGTAAAACAGAGAAAGAGACAAAGGTGAAATAAAATTGGAAGGAAGAATGTACTTAAGGAGAAAATGATAAAATGATTGTGGGTAAAAAAAAAATCTCTGTTGAAATGGTGAGAGGGTATTGCGATAATATAATAGTGTTACTTTAAAGGACTGTGGAAAAGCCTTGCATATGAGAACTAAGAATATAGAAGAATAAGTGGGGAGATAAAAGGAAAAAAAGAGAAAGAAAAAGGGAAAAATCAGAGACGGAAGAAATCATTATTGTCACTTTTTTATTTTGTAGAAAATTTGCTTTTGTACAGCATCTGACAACCATATATCAAACAGACAGCCTCAAAGAAATTCACAGCCCTGGAAATGGAGACCAGAGACAAATTGCTTATGTGTTGCTCTGACTCTTCTTGGAAACTACAGATGTTCATTGTTTGGACACGCCATGGACAGATTAATATCTCCAGATGTTCACCATCCATCCTTCCAGAACGTTAATGGGCAGGCCAGGGAATGAATGCTTTTAGCAGAAACTTCAGTTTCTGCTACAGCTTCAGATAAAGAACTTTGGCAGAGTTTATGTTCTAGAGAGCACCTGCTCCAAATGTAGGGATCCTACACTACAGAGCAATGCCCCTCCATGCCACCACCCAACACCCCACAAAGCCTGCAAGACATCCATGCGAGTGCTGATGAAAAGCTGCTTACCACCAATTCTCAATGCCATATTATAATAAAACACAGGTGAGACACTGCTGAAAAATAACAATTCAGCAGCAGCACCCAAGTTCCCCTGAAAATTATTCAGACAGTTTAAAGCCAACTATATTTAATATTATTGGCATGGTTCTCTCTCATTCCCATTAATGAACTCCCACTTGCAAGAAGTAACCTTCTGCTGAAGCAAATAGACTTAATCCTACAAAAAATACTGTAAATGAAGGAAGTACACTTGGTGCCTTCACTGTGTGAATCTATAAGAGAAGACAGAAGGATTTGGTCTTCTACCTATATAAAGAGGATGTTAGAAGCATGTGCTTTTTTCAGCTTGAATAATTTCAGTGAAATGGATGCTTAGGTGGCAGCCAGGAGGACTTGAGTTTCTCAGCTTGGGCTACTGCTACATTACAGATGCATGCTGTCCTTCAGCAGAGTTACTCACCCTGAGAAGGAGCCATGCTCTGCAAGAAACCATGCCATTTTGATATTTTTTCTGCTGGTGCTGCCCAGAGTGGCATCAGTTTTCCTGTGGGATGGCCAGGTCACTTCAGCCAAGCTGAATTTACTTTCAAAATGCCTTTGCCATAAACCAATGGAAAGAAAGGTCAGGAAAATTGAAGGCAAAATACTGGCTCTTCTCCAATGAAATCACCAAAGAATTTTGCTACTCCTTCCAAGAGAACAAGGAATTCTCCCCCAAAAAGATTGATATCCAAATACCCTGCACAAAATCTGTGGGAGCTCTTGTATGCAGCAGTTTTGAAAAATCACTCACTTCTGCCTGCAGGTGCGTAACCCACTTACACAGGAAAAAATTATATTTTGTGACAGTCAACAAAAGAAGATAAGAAAGAAACCCTTGATAGGAAAAAGACAATCAAAAAAATTAGCATGCCATTAAACCAAGTATAAATACACATTATCTTACACGAGTGAACTGTGTTCTCTTTAGTGTACGTGCCATTTTTTATTAATTCATACACTAAGTGCTAAAGTGTTTCCTAATGCCATTAGGTGGTGCTTTCAGTAAGTAATAGAATAAATAGTTCTTGCACGGTTCTCTTCTGCATCCTCTTCTCATTTTCTCAAGTGAAAGAAAATTTAAACAAAACATCACAGGTGCCTCCTTCTTCTGAAGCCCACTGACCTTGCACAAGGCCGTGTATCACGTTTCTGAGGCACTCTGGCTCCCCTCGGGCGTGATAAACTGCACTTTGGGCACAATGAGGGAGGGATTGGTTCTTCTCATGGAGTTGCTCCTCCGAATGGAGTTGTTTCTCCTCATGGAGTTGCGTTTCCGCAGGGAGTTTTGGTGGGACAGCTCGCTTTTCTGCAGGGTCTGGATGAGAATGGACGGCTTCTCGTCAAGCTCTCGAGCGCTGCAGCGCGGCGCTGCCACTTTGACGGTGTTACCGAACTTGGAGTAGTCGACCGCATACACGCCTTCCTCTTCGGTGACGATGGGCACAAAGCGGTGACCCCACAGGATCTCCTCTGCTATGTAGGAGGTCCTTGCCTGCGTCGTGATGCCAGTGGTTTCTACGACTCCTTCAAGTATCACAATGAGCTCCAGGTCCTGGAGCGCCAGGTCAGCAGCGGAGATATCGTAAAGAGGACTCCGCTTGTCTATGACGTGACAAATGATTAAGGGAGCCACGAGGAAGATATTGTTGCTTTCAATGGGGTTATCCACAGGGATATCTACTTGGTGAATGGGTATGACTTCTCCTTCAGGGGTTGTAGTCTTCCTCACAACCTGGATCCTCACTGAGGCGCTAATGATCATGCTCTTCCTCAGGTCTCCCACTCGAAACATGAAGCACAGTTTGCCGTTTCGGACTGCAATGACTGCCTGCCGGCTGAAAATCAAGGTCTCAGCCCGCCTGTGAGCTTGGGCAGTTTTCATGAATATGCAGCCCAGCATGACAGCATTGATGATCAGACCCACAATGTTCTGCAAGATCAAGACTGTGATGGCCAAGGGACATTCCTCTGTCATCATCCTGCCCCCAAAACCAATGGTCACCTGAACTTCAATGGAGAAGAGGAAAGCAGAGGTGAAAGACCTGGAGAAGAAGATTGCACAAAGGTAACTCTAAGGACATCGCACACAGACTGAGAAGCTATTAACATATGCTTTCTAGAAACAAATTCAAGGACCTGTTTGCACAGTCATGGTACACTTAGGCCTTCTTTTAACACCATCAAAAGCATTGCTTGCTCAGTGACTCTGGTTTTGTATGATTGGTGCAGTATCTGATGGTGACAGGGAAGACTTCAGAGCCTGAGCTCCTAAAAGACTGTAACATTAGGTGACCCCCTCAGAAGCTCACTAGATCCTCTGTTCAGAAACACATGCTGCCCACTGTGTTAGTCGACAGAGCTGTAACACCTAGGTTTTCCACCTTCTCCAACCCATACAGCTCTTGGTGGAAGGTGGTGGTTTTGGCAACAGCGAGCAATCGGCTAGCACGCTGAGATTCTTTCGCCAGCTTGTACAGGGAAAGGAAAGGGGGAAAATTGCAGCATTTCTCTCACACTACCCAAGTAGTGACCCTCTAGGAGTATTTCCTGGAGGGAAAGGGGATACTCCCAGTTTGATGATACTTCCCGAACCCTGGCTTGCCTTATGACTGAGCCTGCAGGATCAGGCTGCAGAGAGAGACTAGTAGCCTCCATGGTCCCCTCTGTACCTCCCAGCAGGAGGACAATGCTGTGACCCAGGGTTTGGGTTTAGCTCACTGCCATGGCAAGACTAGCTGGAAAATTTCAACACAGAAGGGGGTTGTAGAAGTGTGGGTTAAGTTAAACATCTCTAATATGCTGTAGGGGTGGGAGTCAGAGGACACCATCCACAAACTTTCCAAAATACATTATTTATTAGTAGTCCAAAATGTCATAGCCCCTATATATAGCAGGGTCTTTAATTTATCAAAGTCTCTCATATTTAAAATCGGTGCCTTGGGGTTCATCCAGTAGAGTTGCACCACATGAATTACTGTAATAGTCACTCTTTCAGCATAGGGCGATCCACTAACATCTCAAGTGTCTGCATGCTCAGCAATGGCAAATATGTCCTGTCCATGAAAATGGTTCTAAACTGTTCACTGGGTTTGATTTGCTTTTCAATTAATCTGCTTTTATTTTTTTTTTCCCTAGCCATATTTTCAGTGAACTTAGGTTGTGAAGAGATGTTAAAATAGCATAGGAAATTCTGTGTAGAATGAGGAAGTTCATCTTTCAGAAAATCTGCCAGTTTCCACAGAGATATCTTTGAAAGAAATTTGTCCTTTTTACTTTTTCTTTTCTATTTTTTAAATCTTTGGTATATTCTCTTGTCTTGAGGGGTTTATTTTTGTATTTCACTTTCAAGAAATCAGGGATGAAGTTGTTAATTAATAGAATGCATGGAATGATTTCTTACATTCAAGAATATTTAGTTACATGTGGAATGAAACTTCTGGTTTAAACTTAATTCAACTTAATTCAATTTAAAGCTCTGTGGATTAAATATCCTGGTTTCGTTTAACAGTACTCCTTCTTAAAAAAAAGAAAAAAGATGATCCACCTTTTTACAGTGGAAGTAACTGAAGCGGCAAGTTTGTACAGCATTCTGACCATGAGAAGAGGGAGTCAAATCACACTATTCCCAGGTCCTTCCCCTTAGAGCAGTGTAACAGTTTTCCTCTTTGGATAATGTTTGCTTTTTGTAGCAAAGAACTGCGAGACTTAGAAACTTCTGCAGTACTTTGAAAAACTTAAATGCTGTGCAAGCTCCAGGCACTGGTTAAAATTTCCAGAACCAGGTTTCCTGTAAATCTGTAATGACATCTACCCAGGAAAGCTCTCCTGAAATATCTGCGGCCCTGAATCTCAGGAAAGCAGGTTAAAAAATACGTGCTACTATTTTGGCATGCATATCACAGCAATATTAAATATATTTTGTATTCAATAATTCACCATTCTTAAAAAGGTTAGCAATCATATCGCTACTTCATGGCTTTGTCCAAAGCAGTAGCCAGATTTAACAAGATGAAGTATTTCATTATAAAGGGAAAAGATTTTCCATGGCTTGGACATGGATGCTTGGGCAGCTGTTGGCTGAACCCACCCCAGGTACTTGCATGAGGGAGCGACACGTGCTGTTTGCCAGTGGGCAAAGTTATCACTGATATATTTGCTCTGCTGTTTCACGCCCCACCAGGTTGCCCTCGCAGCCATCCTGGATTTGTCTCCGACCTGGGGCTGCAGCAGCCAGGGATACAAGGAGGGAGTAAAGCCGTGGGTCCACTTCATCCCAGCAGCACAAACCCCTCAGCAGATGGTCCAGGCTCTGCAGGGTGGCCCAGGAGCCCCGTCGGGTGGGCCAAGCAAGGAGGCTGCCAACAAGTGTAGGTGTGTCACCCCCCACACCTGGGTGACCCTGAGGAACTAGTGGGGGGTACCTACTCGCTCATTCAGGTTGGACAAACCCCACGAATCTCAGAAACGCCAGGGGGGGCACCCTAGCGGGCACAAGCTAGGTCATGATGTCTCATTTCAGAGGTGACTGCTTGTGGCCAGTTATTGGAAAAGAAATTACAGCAAAACCCCCTGCTTCAACTCCCCAACCTAATGAAGGTTAGTCTGGAAAAAAAACATATTTATTTTAGCCTGGAAAATCTCCATTAGGCAAAAAACTGTCAAAATAAAGGAAAAGTGAAATGTCTTCTCCCTTGTGAGCCTGATACAATGTCCCTTCAAACATGGTGTGATGCCTCAAAACTATATGCAGAAGCAAGGAGAACAGTGTGGATACTCTGACATCTCAGTGGATCCTGCAGCTCCCTGCCTCCCTCACCATCCCCTCACAGCACTGCGATGTGTAAAGGCAGATGATCTCGGGCAGTCTAGTGGTATTGAATCAGGATTTTTCTGCTTAAAAACATAGTGCTATAAAAAGAGATTTTACTGATGAGACGGCAAAGAGATCTTATTGCTTACCCCACCTCCAATTAACAAATACTCTTCTATTCCATGCATGTATGTCTCAGTTTATCAGTGCCTTGAAAACTGTCGTGACTTTGGGGATGGAGAATAAAATACTTTAACAGGTGACATTTAATTGACCGTCCCTTAAGCTTTCACTGTCTGACACATCATGCACGCTCTGGAAACTGTTCCTCTGTCAAACTCCTGGCCTATGGCTTCATCAAGGTATTTGGAAGCATTCCATATTTAGCCCTCTCATGACAGTCATCGCAAAAGACATCTAATTTTGCAACACTCTTCTTGCTAGCCCTGGCCAACATCCATGGCCAGGACCCTGCCTGACACCCATGGCTGGTACCCTGCCTCTCAGGGCGGTTCCCTCTCGCTGGTGCAGTGAGGGGCTCTTGCCACACTGGGGATGCTCCCGCTGCTTTAGACAACGTTACAATACATATAACACATACCCACTCTTGTAGCAGGCTCTTATCTCGACAGGCAAGGTATGTTACCCACAGAGTGTGGAGACACATTAAAAGCAGCAGGTCTCCCTCTCTTTCAGATCCTGTAAGGAATCAAAGAAATCTACAGTACAGTATATTCCAAGCCCAGAAGGCTTGCTGAATTTACGCAAACTAGAGGAAATCACTGCACTTTTCAACTGTCTCAACCAAACATGACCAACCAAAAGCTGCATTTTAGGCATCGGCAGGACAGCAGGCAGCTCTGTTTCCCCCCTCACTTGATCCCACCGACCTTACTTTACCTGACACACGTTACGCATGGTGTCCACTTTGTGCTGTTCGTAGTGCCTTCTGTGCTTGGGTCCATGTCACCATGGGCAAAAGCCACCAGCCACCACATCATGGCGAAGAGCAGCCAGCTGCACAGGAAGGACATAGTAAAGATGACCAGTGTGTGACGCCACTTCAGGTCCACCAAGGTGGTGAAAATGTCTTGCAGGAATCGCCCCTGCTCGCGGATGTTCTTGTGTGCCAGGTTGCATGCCCCATTCTTGGCGATGAAGCGGGCTTTGCGTGGTCGGTCTCGGATGCGCGGCTTGCGCAGGTTCTCGGCAGCGATGCGTGCCAACACATACTCTTCAGGGATGATACTCTTCCGAGCCAACATCTCCTGCCACCATAGTCCGCTCAGCAAGATGAGAAATTGCGGGTGTTCCCTCTAGCACGTCTCCACAGGGCTCACTCCACCCTGCAAAAAGAGAGAACCTGGTCAGATGTGTCACCTATGCACTAGAGCAAGAAGCCCCAGTTAGGGACTCCCCTACCAACAACCTTCACATTAAATGTCCTTGTATGACCACCTGTTCCACAATGCCCTCTCTCTTTCAGATCATCACTTTTGCAGGAGCAATTAGTATCAGCTTGTAACAGAAGCCGAAGATGCTCTTTTGACACTCCTCGCAGGAGGGCAGGCTGCAGAACAGGCTTGCAAACTTGGTGTAAAGTAACATGACGTACTACAGGTCGGTTCCTCGGGCTGTCTCTCCGGGAGACAGCAGCGCCCAGGTGTGTACCACAGCACGGAGCACTAAGTTATTCGCATCCTCCAGGACCCGAAGACTGAGGCTTCTCTCGTTCGAACCCAGGCGAGTCTGCAGAGAGACCGTGGAGACTCATGTCCTAGGGCTGCAGCCCCGCAGTGCAGCCCGGAGCCCTGCCCAGAGCCGCCGTCCAGTCCCCCGAAAGCATCACAAGAAGGAGTTGACTCCACGGACTCCACGGAGCAGGCGGTCGCGTTTCCCCCCTCGCAGCTCTCTCCTTCCTTTCCGGGACGAGTCGGGGTGAAACCCTCCCTTTATTCCCAAGCTTCGTTCCCAAACGGGGGAC